TTTGGGCAATATTGTTTTATTACTGACCACACTGGTGTACTTTATTATGTAATTCATATCAAATGAGTGTCACACCGTTTTTGTTTAACACTGTAAATGATACAGTGTTCATGTGCTGTCACATATTCCTGCATGGAATTCCTTCTTTATTTATTGCACAGAATTTGCACAGTAGCTGCTTGCAGTGAATGTTTGAAAGGTCAAACGTTCATTTGAAATTTAATTGTCAATCCAGCCTGTGTTGATTCCTGAAAACTGAGTGATAGTGAGGAGAGATGTGTTTCCTTAACTTTGGTCCATGGTTTATAATTTTCTGTGATTGGAAAGAATTTCATAAGTCTGTATTCTCTAAAATATGAAAACATATTTATTAATGGATAGATATGGAAGGTTAATGCAAGTTTATTGCTGAAATAGATTGTAAATTCACAAACTGAAACTTGATAGATAAATCCTGGTACTCATGCGCTTGTCAACTCAACCACAACAACAAAGTGGTACAAAAGTAGCAAATAGTAAAAATGCAATATTTGAAACCCGAATTGACAGGAACTTTATTTCAGTGACCACTTCTACAGAAGCCATTTTGACAGAGACCATTTAGTAGTGAAGCTTTTGGAAGGAGTGTCAACTAAAGTGTATATGTGCAATGAATTAACGATCACACAAGTGTACAAACTAACACCTTATAAATATTCCATATCACCTTCTAAATAGTGTTCTATCATTTTAACTAGTCAATGATATTTTAATTTACATAGTATTTCATTCATAAAAGATATTATAGGACCCAGTTATTAGTTAAATATATATTTGAAGAATAAAATGAAACAGGTGGCGTTTATGGGAATTAAACTAAATTATGCAGAGGGGTCATAGGTCAACCTGCTAGTGTATTGGCCTATATCAATTGAGCAGGTGCTACCTCAAGTGAGGAAGGAACCATTTAATGAAGTGACTTAGTGATGATACTATTTGTCATTTAGTGTGTGGCATTAACATCAAATAATGATTATAGATTGACCTCTGTGCGTCCATGTTTCCATGTGTGTGTGTGCGTCCGAACCCATATTTTAGACATGCCTAGACCAATTACATTCAAACTTCACACATACATGTACATCATAATAATATTAGCTCCGCTGTCGACAAAGCAGAGCTTATCATATGAGTGATTGTCCGTTGACATTCGGCATCCATGTCAACTCTTTCGACTTCTTCTTGAAAACTACATTCCTGAATGCTTTGATACTTGGTGTATATGTACCTTGGGTGGACCTCTCTTAGATTTGTACATTTCATAGTGATGTCTTCAATTCTCAAATTTTGGTGAATATTTATGTCATTTTTGGTAAAAAGTGATATTTTCGACTTCTTTTAAAAAAACACAAGTCCAATTGCTTTGATATTACATATATAGGTGCTACATGTGGACCTCTCTTAGATTTGTTTATTGTGTGATGATATCTTTAATTCTCTAATTTTGGTGAATATTTTAGTCATTTTTGCTAAAAAGTGATATTTTCGATTTCTTTTTGAAAATCGCAAGTCCAATTAATTGCTTTGATATTGTACATATAGTTACTACATGTGGACCTCTCTCAGATTTGTTCATTCCATAGTGATATCTTCAATTATCTAATTTTGATGAATACTTTTGTCATTTTTGGTGAAAAGTGATATTTTTGAATTCTTGTTAAAAACAGCAAGTCTGATTGCTTTGATACTATACTTATTGTTCATTTTCTAATGATATCTGTTGTTATTTAATTGCAATGTGCATTGCTAACAGCGGAGCTATCTCAGCCGACAGGCTGCTTGTACATATGCACATCAATTTGTTTCACATTCTGATTCAAAATGGCGGCCATTTTTGTACTAAACATCATGACACAGATATACAGGTATATTTGTTTGACTATCTGATTCAAAATGGCCAAATCGTTATTTCCTTTCGAAGCTTTGGAATTTATTTATACAAAGATAATGTGAAAAATGGGGACAAAAATCTCATGATTGTGAAGTCCAGAATGAGCTATGTTATTTGTAAATAAAGCTTTATTTGTGTTTGGGATGTATGTTCATGTAAATTCAGTCAGACCAGTTATTTGGGCTGCTATGTACTTTAATCTACTATAATAATACAGAATAAACAGCCATACAACACAGCATTCAATTCCTAATTAAATATAACTGAGCTAGGGAGCATCTCCCAGTTTGATTTATATATTTTGATTGGCTATCAAGAATGCATAATATATAAGGCAATGAAATAAATTTAGTCAATGAGGAGTGTTTTGTTGATTTGTTGATATATAGATTCAACAAATTCTGTAGCATTTTTTGAATACCTTGTGAATAATAAACGGTTATATATGAAGTAGTACAAACACTGTATAATGTTTGCTGCCGTAAAGCCTGCATAAATCCTAAATGGACGATGACATCATACTTTATTATTCCTCATGATTGGTCACACTAGAGCATTACCAAATGTGTTATTGGTGTTGTACATGTATTCTTAAGTAGTTAGGCTACAATAATTCCTAAGACACTTAGTGTTCTCACTAGACATGAGACTTTTGTCAAATGGTATCTTGTTATCTCGGGTATTTTACTCTCATAGGACAAATTGTCTCACAAAAAAGATCAACAATTTATAAATATTCAAGTACACTCTTTACTATATAATGCTTCATTTCTATGTCTACCAGGATTCATAATTAATCTTATGCTTGTATCATACTTGAAACTGATAGAATTATCCCACCCACATATTTATTTTTTCGTGAGAACACTGGACAATTGAAATGTGTTAATCCAATACCATGACTGTAATGTTTTGAACCTTGTATTTAAACATCACCTGCTCACATCTTTTTCCCCATTTATTTTGGAATGAAAGTAGAGGCTTTCAGCTGTGATGGGTTTATTGTCGTTCTCTACTAGAAGTCATTCCAGTGCATTTTAACAATTGGTAATAAAGATTACCCAACCAAAATTAAGCTTCATAAACTTCAATAAATCTATAAAATCTTAATCTTGGTCATAATCCACAGTATTTTTAATTTTGACTGTAATCATTATGAGTAATCTTGGTTTATGCTCCTGCTTCCTGTGATTGTTATTGGTGCAGTCCGGTACCTGGTAATTCTCCACAATATGCTAGAGTGTAATGGAGTGAATCATATGTGCTATGTGAACAGTGAAACTCACTGTGTAAAGGGGGAACCCAGCTCAGATTAAAGCAATCGTTTCAATGGATGGAATTTGAAGACTATGTAAACCTAGTATATAGTCGCCGAGAGAAAGCGTTGACATCAAATTCTGCTGCTGGAAAAGCAAAAAGGTGTAAAGAAAGCAGCTGGTATTAAGTTTCTCTTGAACATATAGGCAGGGCTATTGTTTATGAAAGCATAGTATTAATTGAATGGCTTATCCAGGTGTATGCATAGGAATTTATGCATGTATACTAAACATGTCACAAATAGCAGCATGGTTATTCTACATTTTCCCATAATGTAGCGGGTTATCTTTATTTACCTTGTGGTTTCTGATGTACAACTACACCATGTTATATAGTAAATAGTCTTAAAACCTATATAGTGGTTAAGTTAAGCTGACAAAATATTTATTGTTGTACATGTTATTAAATGATAGCTTGCACTTTTAGCAATTCATTCAATTGTTGTAGTATTGTATTTATCTGAAAGATTGCCCCAGGCGATATTTTGGAACCAAACATGTTTTGGCACTTTTTTCAAAAATTGTACAATCAACTGTTTGTACGTCCACACTCAAAAACTGTTAATTAGCTGACTCTACTTATTCAAATGCTCCTGTTTCAATTTATTAAAATTTATTCGCTGTGTTCAAAAATGATTTAAATTTGTATCCATTTAATCGATACGTAGCATGGAAATCATTGCCAAGCATTTAAAAAAAAACATATTGTAAAATGCGATATCCTGATAATCTTGCATCTTCGGTGATTCCTATCGGAGATTGCAACACAACATAGCAGCGACGATTTCAACAAAATATTAACTGCAATCTTGTTTACTCACCACAAAATTCAATCATAAATGCTCAGCAATGTTTGGTTGTTTACTAATTCTGATCCAAATATTTCAACTAATTTTCACTGGGTTTAAATTTTGCTGATTTACCATTTCAGGCATATTCAGTGGGTGTCAAATTCACGGTTTTATCATTTAGATAATGTGTTCTATGCTAAATCTTGCATATTCACTGGGTTTTAATTTAGTGCATTTTCCAGTCAGCGAATTAAGCAAAATTAAAACCCAGTGAATAATTAATCCTTTTACAGTACCATAACTGTTGCAATTGGGTGAACAACACATACATGTACTACTTAATACACCAAATGCTATAATACAACTTTACAATTCATATTCTTGAAAAAAACGACTGTATTTATTTTTGTTTTAAAAAACTGCCCATGTGCTGAAAAACTGCCCATGGGCAATCTTTCAGATAAATATGTTATAATTTGTCAATATATCAGCTTTTAACATGTACTTTCTAGATTTTCAAACAATATGTGAATGTGCACAGCTTGTCTCCAACATACACCTGCAAAATGACTACATGACTCAAAATAACGAGGGTCTAATTTACATAGGGTTAGGTAAGTATACCTAATGCACTGGCAGAGAACATGATGAATTGCAGTACTTATTTCACCCTTCAGCAATAATTTTATATGCATGATATAATGGTGTTATGCCTTGAAGTACTCAATGATGTAATATGATGTAATCTAAAATTAAAACTGCAATAAAACGATCGTGATTGATTTGGGTTATTCACCAAGAATTTCAGTATTGCTCAATTTTCCTAGTCATGGAGAAATTAATGGAGATGACAGAGATAAATTGGTAATAATTAAAGCATGTCATTATGCAAACAATGAATTGATGTGGCAGTATATAAACAAATCCACCAGGTATTTATTTCTACTTTCTGGTATCTTGCAGACCTTTACAGCATGGTGCAATTCCCACTTAAGAAAAGCTGGCACTGCCATAGAAGACATGGAAGAAGATTTCCGGAATGGACTCAAGCTAATGTTACTTTTAGAGGTGATATCCGGTGAAAGACTCCCTAAACCAGACAGAGGGAAAATGAGGTTCCACAAGATTGCAAATGTGAACAAAGCTTTGGAATTTATTGAGAGAAAAGGCGTGAAACTGATATCCATTGGTGCTGAAGGTAAGGTGCTGGTGGATGATGAGTCGATGTAGTAAGTGTCCCATATATGGTTTGTGTGCTACCCATTATATTTACACAATTTAATCATTTATGTAGTATTGCATGATCTTAACTGGCTTGATTCAATACCTCTTAATGCAGTTCAAATTCTGCACCACTGAGCATGTTGCTACTCATATGTGCAATGCATTATGGGACCTTAACACCCATTGCATATATAAGAAAGCTGGAACCTCACTAAATTATATGCAATATTTTTGAAATGTTCTCACAATATTAGGATGCATGTCAGTAATCAAAATTTTAAAATATGAAGAAATAATCTTGTCATAAAAAAGTGCTAATTTTGATGATTGTATCTTGAAACATTGTCTGTGAACTTAACTTTTTTTTGGCATTTTTGATAACCTGACAGCATAAAAGTACAATGAACGTGACATTCAATTGAACTTGAACCTTCTTAACTAATCTGTTAATGATGGCAGTAGATGTGGAGATCTCCAGTTTCCACCATTGACTACGATTGTTTTAAGTATAAAATATTGTTACCCATGCCAGATAGCAATAAAGGTTTTGAACTTAACAGAGAAATCTATCGCATCATTGGCCACTGGTTCTAAATTCCCATGCTTGTTGGGAACTTTCAGACCAGCAATGTGTTAATTTGCTGATGGGACACTTACTGAGACATCATTTCACTGTAAAATGGCAAGCTTTACTAATACGGCATGTCAGCACCACTGGATATGAGTAACTACCTTAAAGTAATGAATGGTAGATGATGTAGTACTTGTGTTGTGTCTGCTAACATTCAAATCAACTGCATATATGGACACATCCTTGTACTGCATCATGTATCCACCATCCCTACTAATGAATGGTCTCTTCCTAATTGCATGGAGTTTTCCTATGTACTAGGAAAAGTTTATTAACAATGAAGGTAAGATGAGTAAGTTTGACGAGCTTTGTAATGTAGTTTTGTATGATCATGTGATTACATTGATATTAAAAAAAGGCTTATAATGCTACTACTACAATTCTTTCACCAGTTGACATGACTGGTTCTCTTAAGATTTTTTTTTATTTCAAGACAATATCTGAATTTCTAATTCTAAAACTTAAAAATGCACCCAGACAAGCACTTACATCATTTCAAGTGTACTCCTCCCATAGCTTACTTGGTGTCTAAAATGTGCTATTTGTTATCTGCATATAATGTCTAAGACTGTAGGGCTATGTCTGAATACCATGATTTAGTGAGATTCAGTGCTTTAATTGCATAATGATAATTAAGTGATCAGTCATCTCGTAGGTCAATAATACTTGCACTGCTTGTATAACAAGTCTATATTATAATAACCTGAATAATGGCCCCATAGTCATCAATCAGATGATTAGTCTCCTGTGAGATATTAAAAATAAATGACATTCATTTGTCAAATGATAAGATAAATTTTCATACCCATAGTGTGTATTCATACCATTGTACAATGTAAAAATTCAGATAGAAAATTAAGTTATTAGTTTTGAAGTCCGTCACTCCATCTGTGCACTTACAACATTTTCTCATGTATTCTACAGCATATAACTCAAATTTTGCATGTTGACTTAGAATAATGTGTTTGGGTGGCTCTGACATTTTCTTCTGAAGCTGAGTATTCTAATCAGGATGATGCATATTGGGTTACAGGTGCACGTAATATTTGTTAGCTCCTGTGCACACAAGGGAGGTAATGAGTTTGATGTGTCTGTATGTATGTCTGTGTAAGCAAAATTGGAGCTGATTCAATACATAGGTACCTTAGGGGTAAATACAGACATGATTAATTTTGGAGCCACGTTTGTGCATATTTAGTAGCTCATTTGTATGTTGTCTTATTTCAACCTATTTAAGCAAAATCTCTTAAGTTTCTGAGATGATTTTTATCAAATTTAGTACGTAGTTTAACACTCATTAAAAGGGAAAGGTATGTCAAAGGAAAAATGCCTGTTGTCGTTGTCGTCAATAATTGTTATTGTGTGCACAATAACTTTACTAATTCTATTCCAAATTTGTTCAAACTTGGTCACCAAATTCATCTTTTCTTAGTTCAAAAGACAGATGTCCTGTGTGCAAATATCATGCAAAAATTGAGAAAGTAGTAGTCAAAATCTGATAAAATTGTTTGTTTTGACTGTTTCTATTTGACTGAATACTGGTCTGACACCTTCAAAGATCACTGGTCCCAGTAAGAATATGCAATGCTATATGTGTTCAATGAAGTAAATTATTTATCTCCCAAATCCCATAGGAATAGACTGAATAGGTTTCAATAGATTCATGGAAAGGATTGTTAGTCTAATACACATTTGCAAACATACCATATAAACTTTTTTACAGAAACATAACAGAAACAGAAAACAAGATGTCAGATAATTGATATAAGCACTTCTATGAATATTAACCCTTTGATATAGTCTGCTCTCAATTTTTGCCCTGAATGCACATGCATTGTTATTCATTGATAATAAAACATAGTGTCTGTATTTGTACTTCACTTGATTTCAATAATGAGTGTGTCATACCCAAAAATTTCAAATAATCTAAACAAGAACACCAAAATGTAGCTAGTAACTGTTTCTGTTTTGATAATGACCACAAACTTCAGAATGCCATGTTTCAGTGTCAAGTTGTACAAATAATTAAATTGAAAAATAAATTCAGCAATTGTTTGTTGTTGTGGCGCCCTCTCTTCTAAGAAATGCATGTCAGGACTGAGTTTCACAGAATGCTTCATCTTGTCATCTTTAGTATGCATGTGTGCTGAGTTGTTTTGATAGAATGCTTCTGGTGAAAATGTCCATGACCGCTTAATTCTCTATGATACTATGAAATTTCATGACAATACCTAGCACAGTTATGTGCGTTTTCGAACACAATAGTATGTGTTTTCAAAACCCTTTCACAATGTCAGTATTTCAAAATACTGATGCGATTGTACAGGTGGCTAGGCATGATGACAAATCTGATGGCGTGACTATATAACAAAACAAATATTTGCCCACAGTCCCTCTGTGATTTGCCTTTTAAAACAGTAGGCAGAAATTATATCAGAGAAAAGATAAGTTGCTTAGATTGTTAATTCACATGTGTAAATAAATTTATTCCGTCAGGGTTTTCTCTCCTGCTGGACAGCCGCGCCGGCACTCAATGCTGCCATCTTGCACTATTGTTTCTTTTGTTTACATCCTTATATATGGTCATGACACTATTATATTCAGACCGCCAAGACAAAAGAATTAAAAGCTTATAATACAGAGTGTGTGGGATAGTATGAATGACTAACTTGCCACAAGCTATGTGCAGCACATTTTCCCTGGTTAACTTTGCAGACTTTCAGTGATTTTAAAAATAAGATTACACATGGTTTCAGACACTTCATGATGCCCCAATTGTAGTACATTTTAAAAACCATAAAGGTGACAGCAGCAATCTTTTATTGCAAAGTGACTGCATGTGAATTTGTATGCTGTATACCTTAGTATAAATGTACAAAGTGTATTTTCAAAATTTGTAATGACTAAAACGGTTGATTTTAGGTCAAAAACAATCCTTTTTGAATCAGAAAATAAAGAGCTAGGATATGTATCTAGCAATCAATATATAAAACATCATACCGAGTGTGGAACAAAGTGGCCCAAACATGTCTAAAAATAGGGTTTAGTGACTTACGAATGCAATTTTTTTTCACATTAATTTTGTAAATAAATTAATTTAATAAAAATGATTTAGTTTTTTGTAACCTTTTCCTGTGGACTTTTATTTCAAAATTCCCTCTGCTCTGTTTTTTTTTCTCAGGTCATATGTTCACAATTCTCTTGCACAAATACTTGTTGCGAGTATGGACTTGTGTACAAATGTACCGGGGTATATTATCCTGAAATCAACTAAGTCATGTCATAGATTGGTGGCTTAATTTTAAAACTCTTAGAGTGCCTGAGAAATGTGATACACATGCATTCTTTTTATACAGGCTGTGCCCTGGTTTTTGTAGCAAATTTACATCAACTGAATGCAAGCATCCTGCGGAAAAACAATGATTATATTGTTGTGACAACAAATATTTTACCGACATAATATAAACACAAGTAATGTACATTCATGATAATCAAATTAAAGTTTTTGAGTCTATGCTTGATTCCTTGGTCGGAACTGCTAGCACTTGAAGTTGAACTAGCATCAGTCATTACCATGCAAAAACAGTTCTTGCATCAGGGTATCAAAAAAAGGAAGAACTAGAGACCAAAAGTAGTACTTAGGAGCACCATTCAATGCAAGTTTGTATTTACCGGGTGACGTCACAAACCTCATTGAATACTCTTTTAAGTTTTCAACTGTTTGGAATTTTGGAAAACAGGAAGTTCAACCAGGCATACAAAAACAAAATTCATTTTGTTTTCTTGGTAGAAATACTTACAAGTATTATTTGGCTGCATTTTTTGGCACAGAAAACATCAGATTTTTTCAGTCATTTTTGACTCCCGTGTGCGAAGCACAAAAAGGGAGTCTTTGCAGTTAGTGTGTGTGTGTGTGTGTGTGTGTGTGTGTGTGTATATATGTGTGTGTCTGTCTGTTCCACTGATATCTCAAGAACCATACATCAGTTTTTGATGAAACTTGGTGCATAGATGCTCTGGGCCAATGCGCAGATTTGATTAGGTTTTGGTAAAAATCCATGCATATTAATTACCTAATTTGCAGTTTTAATTGGATATTAATTACCTAATTTGCATAATGTTCCACTGATATATAAAGAACCACAAATTGGATTTTAATGAAACTTTAAAAAGAACTATGCAGAAACCCAATTAGTTTTTGGTAAATATTTATGATTATTAATCACCTAATTAACATAATTAATTAACACCAATATCTCAATTACTGATCATCATATTTGAATAAAATTTGGTACATAAATGCTCTAGGACAATAGACTGATTTATTTTGATTAATATTAATT